ACAACATCCAGAACGTGCGGGCCACAGTGAAAGCAGTCCTATGAGAAAAATTTATATAGTGAGAATAATACCCTTATCGGGAGAGCAGTGAGCTCAAATAAACAACCTGATGTTGGACCTCAAATTTCTAGAAAAAGGACAAGTTAAGCCCAAAGCTCCGAGGTGGGAGAAAATGGTAGAGATCAGAGCAGAAATGAATGCAACTGAGGCTGGGAAAACAATACAAAGAACCAGTGAATTGAATAGTTGGCTTTTCAAAAGATTAAATAAAATTGTTTTGTTTCCTTGAGACGGGGTTGCTTTGTAGTCGAGGCTGGCCTTGAACTCTGGCAGTCTGCGTCAGTCTCCCAAGTGCTGGGATTACAAGGCATGGACCACCATGCCTGGCTGGTCGTTCTTTCTAGAAAAAGCAGGGATTGGAGGCCTGGGTTTGGGTGCTGTAAATATAAAACACAGAGCCAATGCTTTGTGGCTTGGGCAAAGCCCCCAGTGGCCATCGTGGGGGGCAGCCTTTGTGATCCTGTAAATATTTTCATCCTGGTAGGAAGCTTGGGCCTATTGTTTGAGCACATTATTCCAGGAGTGTTTCCGGTTTCTCTGAGAAGCAACAGTGGGGAGTGGGGGAGCAGGGAGTTTGAAGGCCATCGAAGTGCCAGGGAGGCAGGCAGGGTTGGGATGTGGAGCTCCTGCTGCCTGTCCACAGACCTCGCAGGAGCAAGGAAGCCAGGAAGGTGTGGGCACAATTAAAATAATAATTTTTTTGTTTACTGAGCTCCAGAAAAGTTTTTCGATACCAGGGATTGAATTTAGGACCCTGTGCTTGCCAGGCAAGTGCCTATTCTACTGAGCTAGCTCCCTGGCCCTGTTTGTTTGTTTTTTTAAATTAGGTGTGGTGGTGCATACCTGTAATCCCAGCATTTGGGAGGCTGAGGCAGGAAGACTGCCTCAAGTTCAAGACCAGGCTGGGCAACATAGTGAGTTCAAGGCCAGCCTGAATTATGTATCAAGATTGCTTCTCAGCACTGCCCTCCCCTCTTTCTTTCTGTGTGGGTGGCTGGAGGGTGACACATGCTTGTAATTCCAGTGTCTTGGTTACTTTTCTCATTGTTGTAACAAAATACCTAACACCCAAAGTTAAAGGAGGGAAGGTTTCTTTGGCTCAGTTTGTAGAGGTTTCAGTCTGTGTCCGCTGGCTCCAAGGCAGGGTGGCGTGGCACAGGGGCACTGCGGAGGAGAATTACTACAAAGCAGGCAGAAGGCAGCAAGCTGCATGCGACAAGCAGCCAGCAACCAGCAGCAAGGGATAAGGGTCACATTCTTTCTGTCCCTTTATACTGCATGCACGTTACACACGGGTAGGTAGTGCTCGCGCTCCGGGTGGGGCACCCTTAATCCTACCCAGAGCTCTGCCAGAGCAGGCTGTGGACTACTGCAGCATCACACACCCTTCCTCGGGCATCACTGTCCGTCCTGGCCCCACTGCAAAGCTTCACCTATGACTGTGGAGGCCTTGGGGGACATCTAGACAACAGCCGTTACACCCAGTATTCTGGGATGCTGAGACGAGGGGAGGCAAGTTCAAGGCCAGCCTAGGAAGTCTGCCAATTTAGCAAAACCCTGTCTCCAATCTAAGAAATAAAGGGCTTCGGTGCAGCACAGAGTGAAGGCCCTGGATTTAATCCCGGTATCTGAAAAAAAGTTTCATTTTGCAAATGGCACTGAATTTATCATAAAACAGATTGGCAAGGAACAGAACTGTAGCCTGCCCGTAGTAGTGTGTGTGTCCTTGTCTCACCCTGGCTTGTTTTGTTTTTTGTTTGTTTTCTTTTTGGTCTTTAAAAAAAAAAAAAAATTTATTTATTTATTTTTAGCAGAACCAGGGATTGAACTCAGGCTCTTGCACTTGCCAGGGAAGCGCTTATTCCACTGAGCCATCTCCCCGGCTCCTTAAATTTTATTTATTTGTGTGTGTGTGTGTGTGTGTGTGTGTGTGTGTGTGTGGCCAGCTCAGCCCACCAGGGGGCGGTGCTGCCTGGCATGTGGTGCTGGGGGATTGAACCGTGGTCCCTGTGCTTTGCTGAGCTTGTTTTAAGTAGGTGTTTTAGACCACTGAGCCATCTCACCAGCCCCTCTTTTTGGTCTTTTTGTGACAGGGTCTCACTATGCAGTTCAGGCTGGCCTTGAATGCATAGCAATCCTCTTGCCTCAGTCTCCCAAGAGCTGGGATTACAGACATGTGCCACCACACCCAGCTCCATTTTGGCTTCTGTAGCACCCCTTAATGTCCGCTTGGCCTCAGCTCCAAATCAGTCCAGAACTGGGTGACATTTGTGCAGACCTCAACTCATCTCAACACAGGTCACAATGACTTTCAGGAACTGTGCTGCCTGCCAGGTGCTCTCACTCCCATTTTGCAGATGAGGAAACTGAGGCTCCAAGAAGTGCAGAGGCAGCCCCCATGGTCACCCTGTGATCCAGAGCTTAGGAGGTCCTCAGTTCACTGTCACTTGCTGCCAGGACACAGGTCAACATCAGACAGCCCAGACCGAGGCTCCCTGTTCCGCCTCCCAGATTCAGCAAGGCCATGTGGTGTGCTGCGAGGGTAGGGGAGGCCCCGGGCAACACCTTGTTCAAGTTTTCATTGTTCTGATGGGAAACTGAAGCCCAGGGCTGGCCTATGGGTGTGTCCCCTTAGGCTACAGTGACTGCCTTATTCAAAGGTGGCAGAGGTGGGTGGCTGCGCCTGCCCTGGGCCAGTCTGGGGCAAGCGAGGTCCTGGATCCGACCCAGTAGGAACCGCTGTGGCCTGAGGAACACTGTCGTTGTCGCCCACCCACTCGCAGGTGCCCCTGGACGAGCGCATCATCTTCTCCGGGAACCTCTTCCAATACCAAGAGGACAGCAAGAAGTGGAGGAACCGCTTCAGCCTGGTGCCACACAACTACGGGCTGGTGCTGTACGAGAACAAAGTGGTGAGGACCACAGCTGGCCCTGGGCACCCCAGCTTGCCGAGCTCTGGCTCCGCCCTGTCCTGGTTACCCCTCTTCCCATGCCCTCCTGCACCCTGGGCAGCCGTCCTGCTCCCATCTGTTCCGCAGGCAGGCAGGGCTGTCCCTGGCTCCACTTGCCCTCTCTGCCTTGTCATTGCTCTGGGCTCTTTCGAAGCCCACAGACCCGATTGCATCTACCAGATGTCTCTCCTGAGCAGCCCAAAACAGGCCTGTCTTCCTTGTTGTGGACGGGTGAATTCTCAAGGAATCAGGTCAACCCTGTGCCCTCAAGGAAGTGGTTTTTACATGATAGCATGCCTCTGAGTTTGCTGGAGGGCTTGAAAAAAAGGGTGCTGGGCCAACCCCCAGAATTTGATTGATGTCCGATGTAGGGTCAACAGTTTCTAACCAAGTGTGGTAATATATGCCTATAATGCCAGTACACAGGAGGCTGAGGCAGGAGGATTGCTGCAAATTCCAGTCCAGCCTGGGCTGCATAGTGAGTTCAAGGGCAGCCTGAACTACATAGCAAGACCCTGAGCCAATCCCCTTCACCACCACCAAAAAAAAAAAAAAAAAAAAAGAATTTGGATTTCTAGTGGGCTTGGTGGCATGGGCCTCTAATTTCTGCACTCCAGGGGACTGAGGTGCAGGATCGTAAATTCAGGCCCAGCCCAAGAAATTTAGCAAGGCCTTGTCTCAAAATGACCACTGAAAATGTGGCTCAGTGTGAAGGCCCTGGGTTCTGTCCCCAGTATCCTCAGGTTCTAGAGCTAGGTCAAAAGGAGAGGGCGCACCACTCACTACCCTGCCCATCACTGTCCAATAGTGACATCTAGTGGTTGTGAGGAGCATGGCACCCCTGCTGTAGGAGCCATTACTTCAGAAGTACTTGTCTCCGCACTCCTACAGCAGAGGTCTCCTGACCGAATTCTCTTGCAAAGAGCACAGTGGGCTGCTTAGAACCTAGGGATGTGGGAGAGGACCACATCCCATAGTCAGAGCCCTAGTTCTGGTGGCAGATAGCAGCGTTCCTAGTGTGTGGCTGATCCACCTCTTGGATCATTAGGGCTGTGTGCAATGAAGTGTGTTAGGCCCAGAACTGGTACACACTCAGCTGGTGGAATTGTGGGACGGGAGGCAGTGGGCCGTGCAGACAGTGACGAAGACCTTAGCCGAGCTCGTGCTGTGGAGCTTGCTGTGGAGGTCACCGTGACAGCCTCTTCCTATCCCCTCCCTCCTCTTCTTCCCTCCTCTTCTCTGCCCCACCTTGGGCCCTGGAGCTCGAGCTGGGGTTTGGGCTTGGCACACTTGTGACTCGGGACTTTTTCTTGTGCCCTCCTCAGGCCTATGAGCGGCAGGTCCCACCCCGTGCCGTCATCAACAGTGCAGGCTACAAAGTCCTCACCTCCCTGGACCAGTACCTGGAGCTGGTTGGCAACTCCTTGCCAGGTAAAGAGCCCCTGGGCACCAACCTGCACAGGCGTTCTGCACAGGCCTCAGGAGGTGGCCAGGGGCAGGGTGGCCCAGGCTCACTGCTTCAGGTTGCCTTTTAGCAGTCTGAGCCCCAAAGGGGAGAAGTGTCCTGGACCTGAAGGGTGCACTTCTCCCAGGCCACACGGGGTTTGGCCTGGACCAGTGTGGGCTCTTGTCCAAGTTCGGCTGGTGCCTAGCCTTCTGCTCCATCTCCATGGAGTGGGGATCTCCCTATCTCCCCTTCTTACTTCCCTCAATTCGGTTTCATTTTTGACAGAGTCTTGCCCTGTAGTTCAGGCTGGCCTTAGAACTCACTTTTAGCCTATGCTGGCCTTGAACTCCCAGCGATCCTCTTGCTTCAGCCTCCCGGATGCTGGGTAACAGACGGGCGCTACCCCAGAATTCTTGAGCACTGCCTCAGAGAAGAGATCCCGTCAGTGACCCTGCTGAGATGGTTGGTAAAGCACATGTCCACGCCAGGTTTGCTAGGGGCTAGTGCCTCCACACCCTACCAAGGCACCCAGGGGCAAGCCAGCCTGCAGGGGGCAGGCTGGCTCTGTCTCTGCGGGCCTGTGTAGGCCAGTCATCTCCCCCTCCGATCCTCATCTTCCTAAGCGTCTGCAACGCTCAGGCTAGAAGAGAGAGACCTTGGCATGTGGCGCACACCCAAGAAGTGCTGGGTGCCCCAAGCCCAGCCCGGGGTGACCCAGGCCACACACAGAGAGCTGTTACTGTCCCATCGTTAACCACGGGAACAGGCACAGCTGAGGACCGAGTGTCTCGCATATCCATGAGGATCAAATAGAAATAAATTCCTTTGTATTGGTTTTGTTTCCTTGCCCTGCACGCTTCCCTCCCTACTTGGTCATTTAAGCCGTGCTCTGGCCTCTGCAGCAAAGATTTGAAGGGAAACCCAAGCAGGCAGTGCTTGGCCTTTGAACCTGAAGGTTCTTATTGGTTGCTTGTGCCCAGCAC